GGGTAAGGTGGTGGGCTGCAGGGAGACCTAAATTCCCTCCGAGGTAAGTGGGGGAGGGAAGGGTTTGTCTGGAGGCGGGTTGAGACTGAGGGCTCCTAAGAGCTGGGGAGAACGAGCTCCGAGGAAGGAGGAGGAGCCAGCATTCAGGAGCATTCAGGGGGTTGGATGGGAGTTCAGAAAAGGTGGTTTTGCAAATGAATGGGAGTGGTGCAGGAGCTTTGTTTTCACATGGCTTCTTCCCCAAGCAGTGAGCCTCTTCCAACATTGCCAAATCTTCCTGCAGTTTTCACCAGGGTTCCTGGACGAGAGCAGAGCTGAGTGCAGATCAAAGGAGAAAGAAGCCCGGGGTTTCACCATGTTGGCCAAGCTGGTCTCAAAATCCTGATCTCGTGGTCCACCTGCCTCAGCCTCCCAAAGTGCTGGGATTATAGGCATGAGCCACCTCACCTGGCCCCTAGTTTTTATTGCCAAAGCCCAATAAGAATACAATTTTTTTTTTTTTGAGATGGAAATTCACTCTTGTTGCCCAGATTGGAGTGCAATGGCACCATCTCAGCTCACTGCAACTTCCCCCTCCTGGTTTCAAGAGATTCTCCTGCCTCAGCCTCCTGTGTAGTTGGGATTACAGGTGCCTGCCACCATACCCAGCTAATTTTTTGGTATTTTGAGTAGAGATGGGGTTTTTCCATGTTGGTCAATCAGGTCTCAAACTACTAACCTCAGGTGATCCGCCCACCTCAGCCTCCCAAAGTGTTGGGATTATAGGCGTGAGCCACCACCCACCCGTCCAATTTTTTTTTTTTTTTTTTTTTTTTTTTTTTTTTTTTTAGACGGAGTTTTGCTCTTGGTACCCAGGCTGGAGTGCAATGGCGCGATCTCGGCTCACCGCAACCTCCGCCTCCTAGGTTCAAGCAATTCTCCTGCCTCAGCCTCCCGATTAGCTGGGACTACAGGCGTGCGCCACCATGCCCAGCTAACTATTGTATTTTTAGTAGAGACAGGGTTTCACCATGTTGACCAGGATGGTCTCAATTTCTTGACCTCATGAGCCACCCATCTCGGCCTCCCAAAGTGCTGGGATTATAGGCGTGAGCCACCACGCCCAGCCATTTTTTTTTTTTTTAAGTCGGGGGTCTCACCATGTTGGTCAGGCTGGTCTTGAACTCCCGACCTCAGGGGATCCGCCCGCCTTGGCCTCCAAAGTGCTTGGATTATAGGCGTGAGTCACCATGCCCAGCGAATTTTTTTTTTTTTTTTTTTTTTTTTAGACAAGCTCTTGCTCTATTGCCCAGGGTGGAGTATGGTGACACTGTCATGGCTCACTGCAGCCTCAACTGCCCAAGCTTAAGCAATCCTCCCACCTCAGCCTCTCAAGTAGCTGGGATCACAAGCACTACATGCCATCATGCCCTGCTAATTTTCTTATTATTTGTAGAGATGGGGTCTTGCTATGTTGCCCAGACTGGTCTCAAACTCCTGGGCTCAAGGGATCCTCTTGCCTCGGCCTCCCAAAGTGCTGGGATTACAAGAATGAGCCACTGAGCCTGACCCAGGAATCCTAAATGTATCTCCTAAACTTATCTGTTCTTGACACCACACCAAGGCATTTGGTACTGCAAGCTAAGGATAGGAGAGCTCTGGTTTTATACGGGCAGAAGTTGGGGAAGAAGGGAAAGGATCTATGATTGTAAACCCCTTCCACCAGACTACGTGGAAAAGATGGTGTGTGCACCTCTGCTTGTTTCTATGCAGAGCTGTAACTGGGTGGGCTGCATGCTTGAAGGATTCATTGGCTCAACTCTGCCTGCCACCAAGGACTACCTGTCTTAAGCCATGGGCTGAGATTAGGCTCCCTGTCCCATCCACATTCCCAGAAAGGAAAAGTAGCAAGGAGACAGGAAACAAAGCTTTACAAACTCTAATTCTTAACTTGAGAGCTTCTTGAATTTCTGCTCTCACTGGAATGTGAATTATTCTTCTGAGAAGTTTAGCAATGCGGAAAATAAGAAATGAGATTTTAAAAAACAGATTTTTTTTCTTAATTTTTTATTTTTTTTTTAAGGATGGGGTTTCACCATGTTGGTCAGGCTGGTCTTGAACTCCTGACTTCAGGTGATCTGCCTCCCTCAGCCTCCCAAAGTGCTGGGATTACAGGCGTAAGCCACCACACCCAGCCTAAAAAAAACAGAATTTTTTAAAACAATTTTCTTTTAGGTCAGGTGCAGTGGTTCATACCTGTAACCCCAGCACTCTGGGAGGTTGAGATGGGTGGATCACCTGAAGTCAGGAGTTCAAGACCAGCCTGGCCAACATGTTGAAACTCTGTCTCTACTAAAAATACAAAAATTAGTGGGCATAGTATCAAGCACTTATAATCCCAGCTACTCGGGAGGCTGAGGCAGGAGAATTGCTTGAATCCAGGAGGTGGAGGTTGCAGTGAGCCGAGATCGTGCCATTGTACTCCAGCCTGGGTGACAAGAGCGAAATTCCATCTAAAATCAAGTTCTTTTGAAAATTTCAGTCTGTCTACCAAATAATGCAAAGGGGAACAGAGCTATTGTTTAGTCAGCATCTATTGCATGCCAGGCTCATTTAAACCTCATGTTAGTCCTGTGAGGAATCAAGGCCTTCAAGATAAAGACGCTTTCAACTGAGCTAAGGATGGGCGGGGGGAGACAAAGATAAGCACGTTGTGATTCAGAGAAGTAACTTGCCCAATGGGCCTCATTTCGTACAGGAATATGGCTTTTAATTTTTAAAAAACGATTTGCAAATCCGGCAGCCTTCTGAGCCAGAGTAGGCTCAGAAACTCCTAGAAATATGGCTTTAAGCCTAAGTGCGTCTGACATAAAATCATGTGTCCTTCCTCAAATCTACATCTAACTACAAAGGGCAGTTTAGAATAGACTCTTAGATTCGATAGAGGGAATTGTTTCAGGCATAAAAATCAGAGAATTTAAAAGAAAAAGGCAAAAAGTCAAGGCACCACTTAAACGCTGTCTACGCTGCCTCCACCCTCCTGCCAAACAGCATGCCTTGAGCTCAAGAATTCAGTTTTAGCTCAAGAGCAAACTTTTTATGGGTGGATGCTGGCTAAACTGAAAAGGAATTACTTCAACAATCATTTACTGCATGACTTTTTTTTTTTTTTTTTTTTTTGGAGACAGAGTCTGGCTCTGTTGCCTAGGATGGAGTGCAGTGGCAGGATCTCGGCTAACTGCAACCTCCACCTCCTGGGTTCAAGTGATTCTCCTGCCTCAGCCTCCCCAGTAGCTGGGATTACAGGCACCTGCCACCACATCCGGCTAATTTTTGTATATTTAGTAGAGATGGGGTTTCACCATGTTGGCCAGGCTGGTCTCCTGACCTCAGGTGATCCACCTGCCTCGGCCTCCCAGTGCTGGGATTACAGGTGTGAGCCACCACACCCAGCCTATTGCATGATTTTTATTTGCAAAACATAACTCACAACATAATTCCTGCAACCAAGAAGTTTATAGTCTCATGGAGAAACCAGACATTGAACACATAAGACACTTCATCAGAATTGAAATGTAAGGAAAATGCACTAGTCTCCTGAAGGACATAAAAAAGAAATCCAGTTGGCAGGAATCAGTGGCATCTTCACACAGACTTGGATGGCTGGGGAGTGAGGGTAGGTAACAGGTTCGAGGAAGTGGAAGGGAAGGGACCAGTCTTCAAGACGATCCTAAGTGCTGTCGCTGAAGCTATGGAGACTGCAACTTAGTCTGAGACGGAGAAAGAGAAGGCCCGGGCGCAGTGCTAAAGGCAAGTTTTGTTTAAGGCTGGACCTTGTCAGTCTGGAGGAGGGGTGAAGAATGAGGGGAAGCTGGGCACGGTGGCTCAAGCCTGTAATCCCAGCACTTTGGGAGGCCGAGGCGGGTGGATCACGAGGTCAAGAGATCAAGACCATCCTGGTCAACATGGTGAAACCCCGTCTCTACTAAAAATACAAAAAATTAGCTGGACATGGTGGCACGTGCCTGTAATCCCAGCTACTCAGGAGGCTGAGGCAGGAGAATTGCCTGAACCCAGGAGGCGGAGGTTGCGGTGAGCCGAGATCGCGCCATTGCACTCCAGCCTGGGCAACAAGAGCGAAACTCCGTCTCAAAAAAAAAAAAAAGAATGAGGGGAACAGTGGAGTGGAAGATTAGAATAGAATCATAGTAACATAATAAATTACATACTTAGAATTAATCCTAGGGTTAATTATATACTAAAGGTGAAATGGGCAAGGTCACCAATAGCTCAAGGGGAGGCCAACTGCCTTGGCAAGAAGTTGGGATCAATTCTGAGAATGGAGGGGAAGGGCTGTTTGACGTTAAAAACGGACATGGAGCGGAGGAAAGTTGAGGGCACTGGATCGTCTGGCTTCGTGGAATGTTAAATCATATTTTAGGCCTTAAGGGCTGGGGTGGTTACTAGCTTTACAAGATTTGGAAAAGCCTGGAAATGTAGCTGGAGCAACCGTGAACACACTCAGCAAAGGAGGCAGGCGTGGGTAACAAGCTACCAACAGCTCTGTTAACCACGGGGCGGCTGGGGCTACCAGAGGTGCCACGGATACACCCAGGGCTCCGCTAGGCACAGCTGGACCGGAGAGGCACCACCCCTGCGAGCAGGTGGCAGGGCCGGCAGCTGAGAGAACGGGTGCGCGCGCGCTGCGACAGGCGGCGCGTGCGGGGCGCGCGAGGGCGCGGAGCGGGTAGCGCCGTGGGCAGCCGGGAGTGAGGGGCGGGGCCGAGCGAGCCGTCCTTTGCGCGGCACTTGGCACGCACGCGCAGACTGGCCGCGGGGCCTGGAGGCACAGAGGAGGGGGAGCAAGAAAGAGGGGGGTGTGGAACGTATTTCCGCTCTGGCGGACAAATAATCCCGGCCAAAGGGGAGGCAAGGCCGTCCGGCCCTTTAACCGCGTGGGGGTGCTAGTGAAGAAAGGGGGGTCGGGAAGGGGGGATCCTGCTCCTTTAATTCCCTCCCCTCTTCCTCCTCCCCGAGTCCAAGCCGACGCCGCCGCCGCGCGCGCGGGGCCTGGAACACACGGCACGAGCCGCCCCCGCCCCTCCCCCCTTACGCCCACGCGGAGCCGGCCCCGCGCGCGCGCCCCGTGCACCCTCGCGCCTGCGCGCTGCCCAGGCCCTGCCCGTGTGTGGGGGGCGCCGCCGGCCCCGGGGGGGTGGGGAAAATAGGGGATAAAAAAAACAGCGCGCGGAACCGGGCCAGGTGAGAGGCGCGTGCACTCAGGGTCGTGGGGCTGGGGGGGCGTGCCACGGAGCTCTGAGCGTGGGGGTAGGGCGTGCACGACGCGTGCAGGCGGCGGGGGGAGGACGTGAAAACCGCGTGCAAACGTGTAAGGGGGGGGTGGAGGAATGAGGCAGCCGGTAAAGGGGGCGGGGTGAGGAGAGCCTGCAACGAGGGCCACTTCGGAGTCCAGAGCCCCAGGCCTCTGGCCCCCCCTTTTCTCCGTCCTTCCTCCGTGGGAGCGCGGGCTCGCCCCATCCTCGCGGGCTGCTAGGGCTGGGGGGTGTGGACGCCGCTGCCCCGCCCCCAAGAACCACGCCTCCCTCCTCTCAGAGGGACAGCGCCTCCCCAGGGTTGGGGAAATTGAGGAAGAGATCTGAAGACCGGGAGCTCGGATGCTGGGGGGCCGGGCAAGAATGGGGGCGAGGGTCCTGGAGCCTTGGCTTCGGAGAGCCAGAGACCTTTGTCTCTGACCGGTTTCCTTCCCAACCAGGGTTGCCCACCCCCGCCACAATGGCCTCTGGGGTGGAAGTCCTGCGCTTCCAGCTGCCCGGCCACGAGGCCGCTACGCTACGGAACATGAACCAGCTCCGGGCAGAGGAGCGGTTCTGCGACGTGACCATTGTGGCCGACAGCCTCAAGTTTCGAGGCCACAAGGTCATCTTGGCCGCCTGCTCACCGTTCCTGCGGGATCAGTTCCTGCTGAACCCCAGCTCGGAGCTGCAGGTCTCCCTGATGCACAGTGCACGCATTGTGGCCGACCTGCTCCTCTCCTGCTACACGGGCGCCCTGGAATTCGCTGTTAGGGACATCGTCAACTACCTGACGGCAGCCTCCTACCTGCAGATGGAGCACGTGGTGGAGAAATGCCGGAATGCCCTCAGCCAGTTTATTGAGCCCAAAATAGGCCTCAAAGAGGATGGGGTCAGTGAGGCTAGCCTTGTGAGCAGCGTCAGCGCCACCAAGTCCCTCCTCCCTCCAGCCAGGACCCCAAAGCCAGCCCCGAAGCCCCCACCCCCACCTCCTCTACCCCCTCCACTCCTGCGGCCCGTGAAGCTGGAGTTCCCACTGGATGAGGACTTGGAGCTAAAAGCCGAGGAAGAGGATGAGGATGAGGACGAGGACGTGTCTGACATCTGCATTGTCAAGGTGGAGTCGGCCCTGGAGGTGGCACACCGGCTCAAACCCCCCGGAGGCCTGGGAGGGGGTCTGGGTATTGGAGGCTCCGTGGGTGGCCACCTTGGGGAGCTGGCCCAGAGCAGCGTGCCCCCCAGCACTGTAGCTCCACCGCAGGGTGTGGTGAAGGCCTGCTATAGCCTGTCCGAGGACGCGGAAGGGGAGGGCCTGCTGTTGATTCCCGGAGGCCGGGCCAGCGTGGGGGCCACCTCTGGCCTGGTGGAAGCAGCAGCGGTGGCTATGGCTGCCCGGGGGGCGGGGGGCAGCCTAGGGGCGGGGGGCAGCCGGGGACCCCTGCCTGGGGGCTTCTCAGGTGGAAACCCCTTAAAGAACATCAAATGCACCAAGTGCCCGGAAGTGTTCCAGGGCGTGGAGAAGCTGGTCTTCCACATGCGGGCGCAGCACTTCATCTTCATGTGCCCTCGCTGTGGCAAGCAGTTCAACCACAGCAGCAACCTCAACCGCCACATGAACGTGCACCGTGGTGTCAAGTCACATTCGTGCGGCATCTGCGGCAAGTGCTTCACCCAGAAGTCCACCCTGCACGACCACCTCAATCTGCACTCGGGAGCGCGGCCCTACCGCTGCTCCTACTGCGACGTGCGCTTCGCCCACAAGCCTGCCATTAGGCGGCACCTCAAGGAGCAACACGGCAAGACCACGGCCGAGAACGTGCTGGAGGCCAGCGTGGCCGAGATCAACGTCCTCATCCGCTAACCGCGCAGGCGTGGAGGCCAGGAGCCTAGGGGTCCCTGGGCTGGGTGGGAAGAGGGCTCTTTGGCCCAGGAGAATTGAGGGGTGGGGGGGGTCTGGGGCAGAAAGGTAGAGTGGGAGGCTGAGCACACTCACGCATCTTGAGAGAGGGAAGATGATTCCTTGGAGAGAAGACTTGCTCTGCAGAGCGCAAGGAGCTGGAGCTGGGGACAGGGTTCTTGGAGTAGGCCAGGGTAATACGGGGGTCCCAGAGAAAGATTTCCTTCTCTTAGAGGTGCATGTATATGTGGAGGGAGGGAAAAGGGTCCTATAGAACAAGGGAAGACAAAGACATAAATGTTTTATTCCTGGCTAAGGCTGCCCAGGGGAAGGTTCTGACATTTCTTGAGGTAAGAATGGTGGGTGGGTGGGTGGGAACAGGGAGGGAATTTGGCAGGAGGACATGCTCCTGCTTAGAATAGACCTGGGGTGAGTGAGTGGTAAGGGGAAAAGATTATTGAGTCGCAGAAAAGGAAGGGGGAGACAGTTCTTGCATGCTGGGGAAATGGGACTGCGAGTAGGAGGCTTGCCAAAATTTGAGGGAGAGCAAAGTAAGACACCAGGTAAGAGAACATGGGGTGCGCATCCTGGGTAGATATTGGGAAGTCGGGGTACAATAGCAAGAACAGTGGATAGTCATGGGGGTGGGGGGTAGGGTATTTAGAAGAAAGAACCTAAGAAGGGCTGTTGGGAGGGAGAGGAGTAGAGACTTATACAGTATTTTTTAAGAAAAAAACATATTTTTTAGGATTTTTTCTGGAGTTTGGGGTTTTAGTTTTTCTGCTTTTGTTTTCCACAAAATAAAAAACAACAAAAAAAACCTTTTTCTTTCTTTCTACACTCTGGCAACTGCGTGTATATGACTATCCTGCTCTAGACAGCCTCTATGATGCTGCATTCTCAATACCTAGAGGTCACAACTCATGCATGTCCCTTGCCTGAAGGAGCCCAGTGTGATGGGAGAGGAGTGTGACAAGTGAGCTCCTCTGGCCAGGGACTCCCTCCAAGCCCCCGCCCCCAGCCCTCCACCAGTTCTGCAATCTCAACACTTCCCCAGGTACCTCACCGTACAAGTGATTGGCAGTCGTGGGGATGCACATCAACTCTATATGAGGGGCTTAAGATCAGTGCTAGGGATGAGTTACATGTGGCCAACATGCCCACGGAAATTGTAAGCGGGAGTCTGTGTTTGGTTATATTTTGTTTGGGGTGAATGGTTCGTATCTTAAAAAAAAAACAAAAAACAACAAAAAAAGGAACCTAAGTTTGGATTAAGGTGCAGGGAAAACTACAATTCCCAGAAAGCTCTGGAATAGTTAACCAAAGAGAACTACAGTTCCCAGAAGGCCTTGAATTGGCCTCAGGTGCCCCACCTGTCTCAGTCAAATACTGCGTGTGAAATCATACAGATATTTTCCAAACTCGACCAAAATGTAATACCTAAGGGGAGAATACCGTAAATACAGGTATCGAGGTTGTATATCTTGGTGTACAGCATTTATACTTAAATTGTCCGCTGGGCTATGACCCACGGAGTACCTGACTGTGCTTATGAAGTGTTCGGCAAAAAAGGTTACTTACTGCAGTGTCATCAGACAGTAAAGACCTTCGGGCCGCTGGGCTTACCTGGATCCCTAATGCGTGTGGAGGTGTAACACGCCTGATATAGACAGAAGAGACATTTAGCCACGGGTTTTCAAAAGGGCACGCTGCTCCAGGGGACATGAAGCAGCATGCTAGAACCAGCCAAGAGTAAAGGTGTCCTTCGCGTCCCTATCGCCCCCTTCTTGCTCATTAGAAAGGAGAGGCCAAAACTGAGGCCGAGCCTTCTATCTGGTAACTCAGAAAACAGAAAGGCAGAAAAGCAACCAGAGGCGGGAAAAGCCCAAGCAGGCCAGAGGAAATACAGCCGCTGCCGAGAGCCGGAGGTTCAGAAGCTCCGCTTGTTACCTAAAACCAGATGGGGACGGAGACGCCACACCTGGGGCCCAGGCGTGCCTCGCCCTGGGTCCCTGCAGAGCTGAGGCCAGAAATGACAGGAATTCTCCCTTGCAGCTCCCAGCTTAGGACATTCACAGCCATCTCCGAGGCCGCTCTCAGGGGAAAATGGCCAAAAAGCGTGTAGCGGCTCCTTTAAGGCTCCTCCTCGCCCTCCCTCCTTCGCCCACGTGACCCGGGGCGGCCGCGCGCCGGCTCGGCCCCCAGCGCAAGCGGCGATGGCGGCGGCGGCGGGAGCTGCAGCGGCGGCGGCCGCCGAGGTGCGGAAGGGGAGGGGGAGAGGCGGGTGCATGCCCGCGCGCGCGCCCGGGGGAAGCGCGCGCCCGTGCAATGCTCCGGGGGTGCAACGGGGCCGGGGGGCCCGGGCGGGACTTGCAGCAATCCGGGGGGCCAGCACCGGGGGCGGATGAGGGGACCAGGGGGTGGGAGGTGGGGGGAGTGGGCACGGAGGCGCGCGTGCAGCCGCCGGCTGCCCCTGAGTGGGCGGCGGGCGCCGGGGCCCCAGGAGCACGCGCGAGGGGCACGAGGGGCCGTCCACCAGGCTGGGGGACAGCGGGTGCTGGAGGGGTTGGTGCTCGGGGTCCCCGCGGCCTGGGGGACAAAGGGGGAGCGGCGCGTGCAGCCGGGAGGAGGGGGCGGGGCCGGGGCGCGGAGGCCCCGCCCCCTCCCCCTCCTCTTCTCTCGGCCCCAGAGATGCGGGGTTTACCGAGAGGGAGGGGGCTGATGCGGGCTCGGGGTAGGGGTCGTGCGGCCCCTCCGGGCAGCCGAGGCCGAGGAAGGGGGGGCCCCCATAGAGGAAGAGGTAGGCCCCGGAGCCTGCTCTCTCTTCCCAGGGCCCAGGCGTCCTGGACCCCCCAACTCTCTACCGGGCTGACCAGCCCTCCTGTCCCTTGTCTCCCCTCCCAGGGGGAGGCCCCCGCTGAGATGGGGGCGCTGCTGCTGGAAAAGGAGACAAGAGGAGCCACTGAGAGAGGTGAGTGCAGCTAAAACGGGCCCCAGTTGGACAGTTGCCTTCCCTAAACACAGGATCTTCTGAGTCCTTAGCTCTGAACTTTTTCTCTTCCTCTACAGTTCATGGTTCTTTGGGGGACACCCCTCGTAGTGAAGAGACCCTGCCCAAGGCTACCCCCGACTCCCTGGAGCCTGCTGGCCCCTCATCTCCAGCCTCTGTCACTGTCACTGTTGGCGATGAGGGGGCTGACACCCCTGTAGGGGCTACACCACTCATTGGGGATGAACCCGAGAATCTGGAGGGAGATGGGGACCTCCATGGGGGCCGGATCCTGCTGGGTGAGAGGCTGGGTAGCCTGAGGGGTGGGTGGGAAATTTCTGACTCCGAAGTCCTTATCTTGCCTTGTTCGCCTGTTTTCTAGGCCATGCTACAAAGTCATTCCCCTCTTCCCCCAGCAAGGGGGGTTCCTGCCCTAGCCGGGCCAAGATGTCAATGACGGGGGCAGGAAAATCTCCTCCATCTGTCCAGAGTTTGGCAATGAGGCTGCTGAGTATGCCGGGAGCCCAGGGAACTGCAGCAGCAGGGCCTGAACCCCCTCCAGCCACCACCAGCCCAGAGGGGCAGCCCAAGGTCCACCGAGCCCGAAAAACCATGTCCAAACCAGGAAATGGACAGGTGAGTGCAATGGGAGAGATTGGGATAAGCAGCCATAAACCTTTGGTAAGCTCTTTTACAGTTTCACTAAGGCTTCTACTCCATTTACACAATTACATATTTAAGCAAGGGGCTACTGTGTGTCAAATATTAGGCTGGGCTTAATCTGAACCAACAGACAGGTTCCTCTCTTCCTGCAGTTTACATTCTTGGGTGGTGAGAGTTTGACGTTAAAGAGTCAATTATATAGTTAATGTCTTAATTACTCATGATAATGACAAGGTAAGGGAATTTCAAACTACTCTTCCTTTCTAACTCAAAGCAAGCCCTTGGGGAACTCAGCGGTCACTGCTCTATTTGTAAAGTTTTTCCTGGGAATCCCAGTGGGAAACGAGATGGGGGCCACAGAAATAATAGAGGAGCGGAAGTGACAAAGGCCCCAGAGGCCCAGAAGCTTTATGACCAAGTGCTAGGACTCTTGTTCATACCTATTGTTGACCTAAAGGAAAAGACTGAGTCGAACTTAACATTAAGTAGAGTCTATTTAGGCCAGTTTTGAGTATAAGCCTTCAGAAGCAAAGATTCAAGTTGCCCTGAAAATGCACTCTGATTAGCAGCAGTTACAAGTAGGATTTTTTGTTTTGTTTTTGGAGACAGTCTCACTATGTTGCCCAGGCTGGTCTCAAACTTCTAGGCTTCAGCAGTCTTCCTGCTTTGGCCTCCCAAAGTGCTGGGATTACAGGCGTGAGCCACCGCAACCAGCCCACAGGTAGGTTTTTAAAGGAAAAGAAGACTGGATGACATGAAGATATTGGGGGAAAAAAAAAAGGAGGTTGACTCTGGGCACACTGCCTAGGAGTTAGGTTAGCTCTGCTCTGGAAGGAGCCACAAAAAAAAAAAAAAAAAGAGAGAGAGATAAAAGTTTTTTAAAAGATTGAAAACATAGGCGGTGCGTGATGGTTTATGCCTGTAATCCCAGCAAGGGAGCCCGAGGTGGGTGGATCACGATGTCAGGAGTTCAAGACCATCCTAGCCGAGATGGTGAAACCCCATCTCTACTAAAAATACCAAAAAATTAGCTGGGCATGGTGGCAGGCGCCTTGTAATCCCAGCTACTTGGAAGACTGGGGCAGAGTCTTGCTTGAATCCGGGAGGCGGAGATTCCAGTGAGCTGAGATTGCAGCCACTGCATTCCAGCCTGGGCTACTGAGCTCCATCTCAAAAAAAGAAAAAAAACTGAAAAAATAAAAAAGGAAAAGAAGAGGCAGTTCCTAAGTTGTTTACCATAAGTTTACATTAGAATAAGAGCTATTGATATGCTATACATAGTTCTTTGTGTCACAGATTTTAGGCACTTGAAGATAATGGGTGAAGCCGCACACTAGTCAGGTACAAATACCTTTAAGCAGTTGCCTCCAGGCAAGGGGCCTAGTGTTCCATACTCACTTCTTTCTGAGCCTGCACTTTTGCCTGCCTCACACAGTACAGATTGCTGTGAGCTACTTTTCCTTTCTCCCTATGATGAACCTTGATTTTTATAGTTGCAGTTCATTTTGTAAATAATAGAGAAAAGAAAAATTTATAAATGAGGTAGAGTGAGAGATTAACAACAATAATAATAACATAATCATGACAATAGTCCGGGCGTGGCTTGCCTATAATCTCAACACTT